GTTCATAGACCTTAATGCAGATGCGTTGTCAATTCTAAGGACTAAAATGAAATGCCTAGTTACTAGTTAAAAGAGCCTACGTCACATCATATGAAACAGCATTATGCTTCTATTTCATGTTTTTTCGGCCGATTATATTTAAATAGAATCAGGGTGATAAACAAACTTACAGTCCACCCGATGTTAAGTGATTACTGTAGATACTGTAGCTCATACCGATCTATTCATGAAACAGGACACGCTGTATCGTGGTACAATCACGCATTTGACAACGACAGCTTATATCTCATAATATACATTTATTTGTTTTGAAAATGACGCTGTTACAGCGTGGTCTGACGTACAAAAATGAAGTATTTTATAAATCAATTTTATTTTATCCAGAATTAACTTTAGCTTACAATGGCGGTACTAGATGCGAATGTGAAAACCACCGTTCACACTGACGTATTTAGGTGGCAAATGTGAATGTTCGTTGAAGATCCTTAACACCTGCAAGTCTGCGGTCACGTGTATGTACATATTGCAACGGCTGGAGCCTCTTGCGGTACATCTCCAGCAGAACGTGCCAGCTGACCTAGCCAGCTCAGATGGCTTGCTGAAAGTATACGCGTCGTACATCAACAAAGATTTTCCGTTCTTCAATTTTATGAATTTCGCTGAAACAACATGAAATATTATTATGAACAATAATCGTTAAGATATTTAAAAAATAAAGTTAGTTTATATATCTACATGTCAGGCTGCTGGGCACAAGCCAGTTCTCATTTCTGAGAATGCAAAGAAATGTCCGCCGCGATGCCTTAATCTTAATGCAATGTTAGCGAACTTCACACGTCTTGGAAATATTATATAGTTTCAATTTTTCAGACATGTTTGTTTCCCCACGATGTTTTCCATCATTGCCGAGCATGTGGTAGGTCAACAGGTAAAATTTAGAGCTATTAATTTCATTGGTACCGGCAGTGATCGAATTCGGTTTGCTCGCGTACTGTGTAATTTACAGCGAGCGTTTGACAACGCAATGTCATACATAATACCTTAGACATAAAAAATACATTAAAATTATAATGACATCTTTATTATATTTGTTTTATTACGATATTAAGATAATCTCTATACAAATTCTTAACATCAGCAGTTCACTATATAAATATATATATATATATATATATATATATATACATATATATAACAATATATATATAATTCTATTAAAATGAAGCTAAAAAAGATTCTCCGCAATATTATTGGTTTTGATCTAATGATGTATTCAGGGAGCATCGATAAATTAATGCAAATCGATAAATTGATGACGATTCCGTGGCACAGTTGCTTAGCAATGAGTGGCTGCGCTGGGGATCGCGGGTTCGAATCCCGCACGGCACAAGTATTTGTACAGCCTACAAAAATTGTTCGGTGGTTTGTCCTTGTGCAATTTATGTTTGTAAACTGCCGCCACGATACAGGAGAAAATCCTAGTGTAACGTTTTTTTAAATAAACAAAAACTAAAACACTAACTTTTTCTAAATATATCTCAAGTAAAATCCTTACTGTACTTTTGGCAACAATTTGGTTCATTATACCAAAATACTGGTGTATTTTATTGAATAGTAATGATTCTGAGGACACTGTTTATATTTTTTATATATAGCTGCCAAGCTTGGCAAGTGGATTGGCAAACGCAGATTTTTTTAAATTGTTACCAGGCAGAAGCAGCTACCCATGGTTTCTTTCCTTCTGTAGCATTCTACGACACCAATGGGACTATATGGGGTAGTAGATATTCATAAACCGCCACTAAACGGTGAGTAATATTATATTGTATGAAAAGATTTTATATAAAACATGAATTGTAAGTATTAAAAAAGTGCGAAGCCAAAAAGAGCGCCACTCTGTATTTTTGCGAGCATATTGATATTTTTACCATAAAACAGCTTGTGAAATTCAGGAAATGAGTAGATTAGCATATTTTGAATTCACTATGTTATTATTACCTCTTATTAAAAGTTAAGTCATTAATTAGTTATAAACATGGTTCGTACGTCTCAGCTATAAGGAAATTATGTCAAACAACAACATTGTTGATTGATCTGACGTGAATCCGCTTAACATCTTAATATAACATAAAAGTAAGTAAAGTTACAGCCTACATTCGTCCCACTGCTGGGCACAGGCCTCCCCTCATTTCTGAGAGGGTTTTAGGGCAAGGAAGTGTCCGCCACGCTGCCCCAATGCGTGTTGGCGAACTTCACATGTCTTCGAAATATTTTTTTTTCTTATTCCTCAGACATGCAGGTTTCCTCACGATGTTTTTCCTTCACCACCGATCACGTGGTAAATCAGCACTTAAAATTGCAATTAACAATTTCATTGGCGCCGACGGGGATCGAACCCGGGTTACTCGCGTTCTGTTATATTTACAGCGAGCGTTAACCATCTGAGGTACCACGGCTCTGGTAATATAACATCCAACTCTTAAATTACGGACGTAGCAAAAATTAACCTAATTCGAAAATGGAGTATGAAGAATGAAACGGGTAAAATAATACGTAAAAGAATAATGAAATATATTTATTATTTAAAAAAAACAAGTTAGGCATCCTTTCAATATATGCGATTACAAATTCTAGTGACTCGCATTAAAACACTGAAGACATAACGCTGTTTTACATAAATTGCACTCTGTATCTGTTTTCTTTGATTTTAACCGAGCTTCAGCTACAGAGCGACCTAGGTCTCTAATTTTTTTGTAGCATCCAGCGCATCTTTTTCTTAATGTTCTTCCGTTGGACTGCTTTTCATATTTAATCAGTTTGTGAGTCATAGCAGTCGTTATATTCGTTGTAATCGATTGACAAGACGATGAAGCTGAAGGAACTAATGACGGTCTAGCTTCTTGGATACCTAAAAGACGTTTTACAATTATTTCATGACACTTCACTAAACACATGAACAACTGAAGCCATGTAATTAGCAATAGCAATCGAAAGGGGTGTCCATCTGTGACTTTTTGTATTAAATATGATCATCACAGGTTTTATAAACCAATAAGTTATACCTTTAACTTCTTACCTAGTTTGAAGAGTACCTCCCGCCCTCCTTCAATTGCGTGCACTAAGCCCAGCACCACTACTTCCAACACCATTACTCCCAACACCACTAAAACACACCAGGCGGCTGACCGCTAGGGCCTTAGCGGCAGTCGCCGTAGAGTCTACATCATCTGAAGATGCCTCGTGTAGAGGCAAAACACGTGTCGTATTATCGTCGATGGCGTTTCTTTCCTAGAATAGTGGTGTTGGGAGTAGTGGTGTTGGAAGTGGTGGTGCTGGGATTAGTGGCGACGGGATTAGTGCACGCAATTGAGGGAGGGCGGGAGGTACTCTTCAAACTAGGTAAGACACATCATTTAATTGAGCGGATGGTTGCAAAGTAACTATTAATATCTTTATTATAATGGATTTCCGCAAAGTAACGTAAAATTCTATGAATTAGCAAAAATTCAGCAAACAACAGATGAAGGAAACATAAATAAAAATATATATCAGCAATAAAATCACTTTCCGTGAGTGATGTGATCCCAAGGATTCCAGCGTATGCTACCGCTGGTACTGAGGAAGTGCAGATTGACTAAAGAAGTGCGGGGCCTGGATAAATATTGATATTATTATCGCATCTATATCATGTATTTAGGAATGCTATGTACCCTGCTGATATATCTATTTCATCATTATGACAAGCTAAAGTGTGCGGTCGTTTTAGTTTTAGCACAGTCAACGCATCACATCCAATCATTTTTGCACAGTATTTCGTGGACAATGCATAAATTAAAAACACATATTTGTTGAAGATTTATTTAAACGACTGGTATAAGTAAGATATAAAACGTTAAATGCGAAAACAGATAATGTCCTAATTTTATAGGATAAAACTAAAATAGAATGATACGTCGAAAAGTTTTACCCTGTACAATTTCGTTCTGTTTATAAAAAATTTTTTGATTGAGCATAAGTTATATTTTTTGCAAACGTATTGTATTTGCCGTTTTGTAAAAAAAAACTATGAAATACAATATTTGCATTTATTTCTATTTGATTTTCAATTCTTCTGATACCGATAAAATTTTAATTAAAATATGTTTGATCTAATATTAAATGCTGTCTGTATTTCACAAGCAATTATTAATATGTTTTTTTTCATAAGAAAATAAATTATAAGTCAATGAACCATTATAAGTAGTGTATTTATAATCTTTAATTATCTTACATAAGAATATATAAAAACTACCAACTGCTCTGTACTAAGTATTTTTATGACATAAATATACAAAGTTTACTTTATTTGTAGGCGGTTCACAATAATCCTTTATTACTATTTACTTATCAGTAAATATCATTCCAAAATAAATAAGCCAATATGGAAGTGGTCTACAATCACAATTGTTCCACGCCAATGTAATTCAAACGTAAATGAGGGATATATTAAAACGGTGAAACTATTAAATGTCAACTAAAGTTCGAAGTTTTTTCAGCTGATATTGACAAGTTATACAATAGGGGTACAATTGGGTTATTTTTCTCACAATGACAGCCTTACCTGTACCCTGTTGATTGACGGAAAAATTGCGAACCAAAAGCTCACTGGTGAAGTAAATACGCAATATCGATGCGAAGGCACGAGCAACTATTTCAAAAAATGCATGCATGTTGGCGCATTGTTTAAGCAAATTATATTACTTTAAATGTGATTGATAACAATTTTGAAAAAATGTAGAAGACCGGGTGGCAAAAAGAATGTCACAAACTTTGATACCCTTGTCAAGTAAAATTTTAGCAATATTAAAATGACAACCACAAATAAGTTCTATACAATCTGCAGCAAAAATATTTTAATCCTTCTAAAAATAGATCTATCAATTAGTTCATTTTGTTATATTCGTTACCAAAATTAGACCAAAGATTAATCCAGGTTGAAGAGAGTCCATAACAATGTCATATTACTTCAAAATTTCTACGTAGAGACCATCATCAGTTTTTTCGTACACAGGTGGTGAGTGTGCGTGCTCATTCGATATACAAACTAGCTCATAGTCATCGTTGACGTGCAAACAAACATTGCATTTCCATCTAGCTCGCCCGGAGCAGTACCATCGCTCTCCGCCGGTCATCGGTGATGGGTTACTATACGAATGGCCGTTCAGCATGAGGAGGGTGGCTCCGTCTATCGCGGTTACCACTGTCACTGGAACGAAATCATTTATCTAATGACGTACAGAATTAGACAATAATAGTCTTTGTATGTATTAAATTGTCTGACGCAAAATACATGTGTATGTGAGTATAGGTGCGCATCGAACAAAGTGGCGACTACTGTTTTTGGTGAACTACTGTGAGTATTGTGTTCGAATGTGGATTATAAACGACTGGTTCATAAAATCTGAAGGCATATTGGCTAGATGATAGAAATAGGTCTTGAAATAGATAAAATATTATTTTCTATACTGGTCTGCGACTATAGTTCAGCAACAATTTCAAAATAATTAAAATTACTTATTATTTTATTACATATATGCCCTATAATCATTATAGCACATAAGTTGCAGAGATCAATAACATTACTCATCATGTACCGATACTATCATGAACACATAATTTTAAGTAACCTAGCAGGGGCTAGAATTTTATCCATCTCAAAATACTATGCACTGTAATAATATCCTCCAGACCGGTCGGTTCGGTCACAGCGGCCAGCCTCAACGACGCAGGATAGGATTATAGTGCCCAAGTATATGCGCAAGCACAGGTGCACTCTCTATTCCCCCACTCTCATAGTCCGATGGGACGGTAAACCGACACGACCGGAGAGAGATCAGGCGCAGGACCAACGGCTTTACGTCCTTTCCGAGGCACGGGGGTGAGACACCGCCAACTTCCTGACTCCGTGCAGCTACTGAAATTTTATTGACGGAAAAACTCAATAATCTGTTTTTTTTGGCCCGACACGAGATTCGAACATTTGACGGCTCCGTGGCGCAGTGTCTTAACAACGAGTGGCTGCGCTGGGGGCCGCGGGTTCGAATCCCGCACGGAACAAGTATTTGTATGGCCTACAAATAATTGTTCCGGGTCTGAATGTGTGTCCTCGTGCAATTTATGTTTGTAAACTGCCTCCACGATACAACAGAAAATTCTAGTGTGGGGTAACGTTAAAAAATAAGAATTCCGGGACCTAATGATCAGCAGTCACACTACTGCAACCACTAGACCAAAGAGACATTCAGTTTTCACTGTAACAAGTATATGTAACGTTTTTTAAAATGATGACAATAAATAATTTATTATTGATATTACAAAAATTATTTCAAAAAATAGCGTTCAAACAGTATTCTGATATTATGTCGAAGAATTTAATCATTTGAATCAGTATTGAATACGCGTTTTAATTTAAACCTGAATTTTTACATATTGACAGTTTATTTATGTAAGTACACAGAGTGGTCTAAGAACGAAATAATATGTGTAACAGTGTTAAAACTTTATTTAGTAATAAAAATCATAAGCTGCCAATCTAAATCTAGTTTTATACAAGTATGTACTTATTCACAAAATACGTACTTAAATATTTTAAAAAAATGCCTTAATATTAGGATAATGTCAAATAAAAATATTTTTTGAATTTCGAATTAAAAATTAAATCGGCAAGATTTTGAATAAGACTAGATATTCGAGTACGACTACACTACAAACAAAATACGTGTGGCACTCGGTGACTGCCGCGGTAATAGGACTTCTACACGGTCGGGACCAACCACCAACCGTCGTGACCTTGGTCGAGTTGATGTAAAAATGGACAGTGTAGACATCGGTTGCCTGACCAATATTTTGGTTGAGTCCGACGGCCTTGGTCGCGAGCGCATCCCTCACGACACGTTGGGTCCGTGGTTGACGCCGACCGTGTGGAACGCTGTCGGCCGACGAGAGCGCCTCAGTGGTGCGCGCTTAGCAGTCGTCGCAGGCGGATGTTTAACGGCACTATGGATACGAACGGAAGCAAAGAACGTGAGGTCCTGACCGAATTCTTGTCACTGTACTGTGATTTACCATGTCTTAAAGTACCGTGTCATGTTTGTTTAAAGTAATGCGCTCTTTCAGCCACAATTTTATCCATTTTTTTTATTTTTTTTTAATCTTCATTCAATAAAGCTAAACCGATTTTTTGTTGTATAGAAAAGCAAGGAGCCATTTTAAAAGTAACTACCTTACGTCTATACTCTTTAAATAACAGAGACAACTTACAAGTTGAGTCAACCACCCGACCGTGTAGAACGAATACAAAAATCGGTTGACGCGACAAAGGTCACGACGGTTGGTGGTTGGTCCCGACCGTGAAGACGCGCTTTTAAGCTATTGCATAGCATTTTTATCAACTTATGCAATTACGAGTATAATTATTTATTTATTTTATTTATGCAGTTAAGTCTTTGATTTTAAATCAAGTTACACTTTTTGAGCGTGGTGACCGATAAGAAAACAATTTTTTTTCTCTTATTGAGTAAATGAGAAGTTAATATTGTTTAAAATATTTTTAATATCTTACAATACATGTAGGTTACTCAGGAATTTTTATCATTGAGTTAGCAGCTAGTGTACACGCATACGTCTAGTCGCACGCACACAAACACCGTGCCGAACTCTGCCGAGTGCCGAAGTCTGCCGAACTGAAACGACGTTAGACGATGCACGGCTTTCAACGCCACACCTCCGTGCCCGTCGGAGTGGGGAGCGTGAGGTTTTTTTTCGTTACGGAATTTCTGGATTCGGTCCCCGCGCTCAAGGCCCGCGATAGAAGCTATGCAATAGCTTAAAAAATATTTTAAGTACAGCAGTAGCTACCTATACATTTATGTCTATACACATTTTAATGATACAGAAGACAATTTTTTCATTAATATGGTAGAGCCGCGGAGGGCAACCGGGGAAGGACCACTCTCTCACAGAATACCAGCGTAAAATAGCAGCTCAATGGTGGCTGTGTTTCGTTTGGTGAGTGTAGAGAACCGAAGACACTTTTTATTGGAAACGAGGCATTCCATCTTAGTCCTCAAGGGCGAAAACGCATCTGCATTTTGATAGATGTAGATATCCGTGGGCCATTCACTCACCATGAGGTGGACTGTGTGCCCACTTGTTATCCTCATTTGATTTAAAAAAAAGTTTCAGCCTATATACGTGCCACTGATGGGCACAGGCCTCCCCTCATTTCTGATTAGGGCAAGGAAGTGTCCGCGGCGCTGCCCCCAATGCCTATTCTTCGATTTTTTTTCTTATTTCTCAGACATGCAGGTTTCCTCACGATGTTTTCCTTCACCGTCGAGCACGTGATAAATCAGCACTTAAAATTGCAATTAGCAATTTCTTTGGTGCCGGCGGGGATCGACCCGGTTTGTAGAGTACCTACTGTGAAATTTACAGCGAGCTCTAACCATTTAAGCTACCACGGCTCAAAAATAGCAGTGATTAATTCCACGTACGAATATCGCATAGGATACTAGCGTAAAATAGCACCATAATGCTTCTGTGATCTTTTTAACGGTATTTTGTATTTTTCTGTTGTTTTGTATTTTGATTCTTAACCGAAGATAGTTGTAGATGACCATGAGCATCCACATGCCATGGACTGTGTGCTCGTTTGCCATCCTTACCTACTCGTATAAAATGAATTATTTTAAGACTGTGAAAGTACACTTAAAAGACTTACTTTTTGCAATTAGTGGAAACGAAATCCTGTTAAACAGTCTTTGCTGGTGTTTTGTAAACGATTACAGACAGATATAGGTACTAATTAATTTGTTATAGTGTAATGTGAGTGTTATAAAAAGTTAGTTTTACACAAAGCTATAATTAGGTGAGATCGAATTAATTTGGTTGCATTACTTAATATAAATGGATCATTAAATTGATTCAATAAGAACAATTATGATTCGATGGCGTGATTACTTTCGTATTTTAAGTAGTTTTAATCATAAAGTATCCCTCTGAGAAGACATTGGCCCGTGGCCGCGGTAGATGTGAGTGGACACACCTTTTCTCAATAAAGTTATTGTCCAGATCAGTGTAGATTTTCGCTTTGCAGTAGAACCGTCGGTTTGACGAGCAATACCAGCATATCTTGTTACCGGAGACATGGTGCTTCCAGTAAGTGTACTGACGATGTAGTAGCAGCGGTGTCCCGCGTTTTGACATAGTAATCGATGTTTTATGATACTCTGTGAACATAAAACCTTATAAGCTGTGATCACAGTACTTTTTTTAATGAAAAAAAAACTTTCGATTAAATGTAAAAGCCGACTTTAAATAACTAAAAATAATTAAATAATTTAATATACTGCAGTAGATGCTAAGACAGAGTATATTAGAATTAAAGTCCGACTTCAAGATGTGAAATTATTTCATTGTTTTTAGCACTTTGATGGGTTTTACTTTGATTTTAAGTCAAATTTTTTGCCAAGACACTGCCATAACGGAAGAATTAAACCCCCAACATCAGAATGTGAAATTATTTTTTACGTTTTTTGAAGTCTGTTTTCATTTTTATTAAAATATTTTTTACTAAATCAGTAGGCCAGAGGTAAAGCCCCGACTGCAGTAAGTGAAATTATTTTATTCTTTTTAGTTTCTTGAAGTTGGATTTTACTTTGGCCGATATTACACGGTCCAATCAAATTGTACAATTCCATTGAAAAGCATTGGATATTGCACATTGAACGACTTTACCAATTTACACGTATATCATTTAAATGACGTTCAATGTTCACAACGCATTGCGATGTCGCGCCAACTCGTACGCGAATGAGTTAAATAAAAAACAAAAAAATATCGGCGTTGGTGGGTGCGCCCGTGGATTTCGAGAAGGATAATAAAAGGAGCCTCAAACACCTCATTTTCGAAATAAATATAGCGAAATGGTTGCGCGTGCGTACACTTCGCCGTCGTGCGGCGCGCGGAACTAGTCGCCGTTCAATCTTCATGTTTCATTCTTCTTCATACACGTTGCAACCGCATTGAACAATGACCGAAATTGCCACAATTACATTGAAAGGATTCGGCAAATCTTAGCTTTCAATGAGATTGCGCAATCACATTGAAATGTATTTAGATTAGACCTGTGTCGATCGCTCATTTCTCGTAACCCGTGTCGATTACGACCCACTCGTATGGTGATCGGGTTAAAAAGATTAGATCGTTTCGATCATTTGGGTCGCAGCTCGTTTGTATACCACAAACTAATAAGAGTATTAACGTAACGTGTTTGTATACTTTGTATGACCGAATGAAGAATGTTGAACGGGTGCTATAATAGTAATAATACATACCACGATTTGTTTATTGGTTGAATTGTGTGTAAACGAAGGAGACAGAAGACATTTTGTTTATTACGTCGTTGTGTGTTTGATTGCACGATCGATTATATGTATGTAAAAATATGCAAAAAAAAGTAGAATTTGGTTTGTCTTGTTACCTTGAAATCGGGTCAAATAAGATCGAATCTTTTAGAGATCTATGATTCGATTACTCGTGTACAGGTTGCAATCGAATCAAAAAGATTCGATCAATCGCGATCGACACATGACTAATTTAGATGTATCGATGCCATTAAATCAATTAAATGGAAAGCATTATTGAACCGTGTAATATCGGCTAAGACACTGGATAACTGACGAATTAAAGCCCCAACATCAGATTGTGAAATTATTTTTTACATTTTTTGAAGACCGTTTTCATTTTTATTAAAAAATATTTTTACTAAATCAGCATGCCAGAGGTAAAGCCCCGACTTCAATAAGTGAAATTATTTTATTGTTTTTAGTTCTTTGAAGTTAGCTTTCACTTTTAATAATAATTTATTTCTATTACCCGTTTGGGTAGACTATGAAATATCATCGACTTCTTGCATGTCCTACTAGGTCGTCACTTTATCTAGCCTATACTCCGTGTAACGGTACGAGGCTGCAGAAATGCAGGATGTCGATGAAAGCAGGTGGCGCAGGACCGTGCTTTTTGGCATTCCCTGGGGGGGGGGGGGGGTGTTCAGCACTGGATATTACTAAGTAAATAGAAAAGGAATAGGCGTATCTGGGTGCGATCGTTTTTGGCAAAGAGGCCGCAATTTTCATTGTGTAAAGAATTAGATGATATAATATTCAAAAACTTTACTAGAATGTCACGAACAGACTTTGAATTACTTTTGAATAAATAAAATTTGAAATAATTTTGCGGCTTGCCGTCTTGCTCCCCGCGGAAGCAAGACGGCAAGCCGCAAAACAAACAAAATGAGATATATACAAAAATTACTAGGAATTTCCAAGCCCATTGGATATTCGTCAATTCGTATCTGCGACATTGAGCGATATGAAATATCTGGAGCAATTAGAAGCAATATCGCCGAAATAATTGCCGCAATTTGCTCCATTGCTTTGAAATTGCTCCATTAATTGCTCCAGATCGGTCCATTCGTGTCGCCGAGCAATTATTGCCCTCGTGTAAGCGCACCTTTACATACGTACAGAAAAAAACTGAATAGAATTGGGAACCTCGCCATTTCTTCAAATTTCCTAGAATTGTTTCGAATTCCGAATTAAGTGCACGTATAAATTGAAGTACAATTACTACAACTTCGGTTTTCAAGACTGTATTCGGTTTTCCGTAGTAATAGTAGTTGTACTGTGAAGTGTGTATTTCACTCAATGCATGTTGAAATAGAACGACTTGCAAGATTAATTGGTAGAGAATGCCGTAAGTTATTAAGTTCGCCCTTTCTGATTTTTATTCCAATAAGGTTTATATTGCTATAAACAATCAAATACAAAATAGAAGTGGTGAGTAAATACATAAAACAAACAATTATGAAATATAGGAGTTTATTTCTAGAAAACGTTCACTTAAAAATATCTTACATTTACATCTTTTAAAAATTTGTACTTTTACTATAATTATAAAAAATACGTAAACATAAATTCTAACAAAAATGAACTGTAAAATCAAGCAATTAAAAATAATTATATAAACATTAAAGTACTATAAATATGGCTCAAATAATCTATTAACCAGATTGATTGCTTTGATGGTAACATAAAAATGGCAAAAAAAAATGTTAATCGTTCTTACATTTTGTAATATTAGATAACATTATAACTGCGTAATATAAATCTGAATATAAAATCGAGAAAATTTTAAAATAAACGACATAATTTACATATTTGGGGAAAACATAAAAAATTGTGCCTGTGCTATGACTCCATTTCGACTTTACAGTTTTGCCATAAAATAGATAAATGACTAATTAGTAATTAGGTACTTAAAGCAAGTCGAAAATGAAATTGGGTTTACTATGTTAAAAATATTTAACAAATCTAATAATTAAAATTAAAAAAATACGTTGCTTTTATGAATTATATAAAATATTTTTATTACGCTCGAGTTCAAGATTAGCTTATTAAGAGCCATAAAATTCTACAATTGAATATTATACCCAGTAGCTTGTTTCCTATTGCAATATTGTAATAGTTCACATTTTGCAGATAAAATACGTACGACTATCATATGCCACAAGTGTGACATACATACGAGTAAGTATAAAAGTGACAAACTAGCCTGCAAGTCACTGTCGCCCATAGACGCACATATTGTCTAATCAACCTTAAACCTAAACAAAAAATTTGCCTTAACATTAACGTAATTCGAACAAACCCAGTGTTTATTTATTTATTCAAGATACACCAACACATATTAAAATTTAACATTATAAAACCTTATACATATATGAGCACCCATTATAGGTGTATACAGCATTATTAAAGTAAAATATGATTTGCATTTTGAGTAGGTATTAATTATAAATTATTAGTATTTTGACAGTTAATTCAAAGTCAAAACTTATTTAAATTAGTCAATAGTTAACATATTATTAAAATACAAATAATTATTACAATAAAAGTTACCCGTTAATAAAATATTCAATTATTTGTTACAACACTTTATTGTGTGGTAGTAAAATATACGTGTTTAGGCTTAGTATCCACATCTGGTTGTTTGTGCGAATGTGCGCCTTTACTGACTACAACGCTCAAATTATCATCGGTAGTTATTGAAGCCTTACAGTCTTCAGCTTTCTTGGCTGTACATTTCCAAACGATGCCCTTCTTTGATTTTGTACTTCTTGTATACAAGAAGTTTTTATACAGTAATGTATATGTGCCCTTTTTGTTCCCTTTTATAAGTACAGGCTCTGAAAAAGAAACTCAATTGTTATGATAACTTGTAATTAAGATAAAAATATTTTGAACAAAAATCAATGTAGTGCCCAAATACCCAAACACTTTTTAAGATGTCGTTAAGTCTCGTGGTGTCACAGTCACTTTGACTTAAAGTGATAGAGAACATAAATATAAAGTAGGTATATAGTAGCTATAACATAACAGTAGCCATATAGTACCTATAATATAACAATATTTTATTAATTTTAGGAATAGGTTCTAAAATTAATGCCTACATAACATTATTATTTTATATTTAAAATCATAAAAAGCGTTGAACAAATATTTTATTACGATAAAACGAAAACTGGAGGCTCCTTTGAAAACAGGTATCTACTTTTTATACTACAGTCAAATAAAGTTTTATGGAAGGGAATTATTAGGGAATTCCAGAAAGAAGTCTATAAGGGAAATAACATTAAAAAAAATAATGATATAGTACCAAAGAAATGTTTATTACTTTTATTTTTCAACTATATGTAAAAATGAGTATAATTTGTAAACACGGGTACACACTAAAATATGTATAGACGTGACATAAGGTTAATATAATCTCAGTCTTAAACATAAAAATAAAAAAGCGTATGTTATTACTTATTATGCCAACGCTTCGTTCCACTTGACAGATTCGATTTTTTTTAATACTTTTATATATAGCCAACAGCTATCGATGAAGGGTTATAACAAAAATATAAGGAAGTTTCGGATGACCCAAATCCTTAGGGAAAAGATTGTTTAGGAACTTTCAGGCTTAATTTCAACACTAAATTAAGACATGACGCACTAGAATTCCCTCCGATTACGAGATGGCGGTGGGAAAAATAGTATCTAGACCAGAGTTCTCGGGTAGACAAGTCATAATCGAAAAAAAATCGTGTCGGATAAATGTGACACGCTGCACACAATACGATACTATGCTATTACAGCACTCGACCGTTGCCTGGCCCGAGATCCGACAATTGGAAGCAGGCTCTAACACTGTCGTAATAAACTTTTCATAATTAATAATGCATAGAGTATTCATTTGAAAATTAAACCTATTGGATCCGTACCCTAAGTTTATACTGTGAAAAACCGTGAAATAACGCCCATACCGGTTATGCTATGATAATGAAATAACTTTTAAATTTTGGCTTTCCAATTTCGGTTTTTCCTTTTTTTACAAATAAATTATATAAAAAATGAACTCCCTTTAACATAATTGTTTATTTTTGTTTCTTATGTAAAACAACAATCAATAGTGATGTGACATCGAAGGCAAAGATATTGTGATGAATAACAAGACCTTCCTGACAATATTTGCGTAGGTACATTTTTGGCCTTGGCCAGGTTGATTTTCTTTTTTAATATTTTAATATATAAAAAAATATAAATTACCGTTCATCAGATTGTGGTAAATATTGGTGAACTTTTTGCTTGCACTTGAAGGTTGTACATATTTGCATTAGTACAATTAATTTCATCGTGCGTATCGTACCGATGAATTACTTTAAAAGATACTATATCATTCAATTTCAATGAACGTATTATCATTCGTAATTAAACAATACAATTCTTCCAAATTTAAAACGATATTTCCACTATAGTTTCTTCTGCGGCAGCAACGCGCCTGGTACCAACTAGTTAACTATAAAGTGTTAACTGGGTGGCTGTCGTTAAAGATGGGAAAAGAATCATGAGCAGCAGCAGCAGGATCTTCTCTATATCAGCTCAAATAATAATAAAAAATGTGCAACTGTGGCAAATATCCCCCACGAGGCAATCTATGGGGGAGGCCTATGTTCAGCAATGGACTTATGATAGGCTGTAATGAACGAATGTTTGAAAAATTTAAGGTACCTAGCGTAAAACAAAAAAAAAATACGATAATACGACTTTTTATATATATATATATATATATATATATATATATATATATATATATATACGCACTGATGCGTATCCATTACAAATTAGACAATCTTCCATGAGTGATCCCATTTGTAAAGCATCAATTTATGTGGGTAGAGATAGAAACGTTTTTCCGACAGAGTGTAATCAGAATTAATATTACTTACAGGCTGTATTTATATCTGACAATAATTATAAATGGGCATTAATGTAAGGTATATTAATAATAGATTTTAGTATTAAGGCATATTAACAAATCTTAAAATTATATTTCACGTTTTCATACGACATCAACGTTACAAAAGACAATTTCCTTGCAGGTCATTCAAATTAAATGCGCCTTAAATGTCAAAGGCTTTGAAAATATTTCGGGCCATTGTAAGTTCCTCGCTTCATGTGTGTGTGTTCCGCATATTCTAATGATTTTTGTGTCGCAGTCTGTGACGACCTGTACTTTGCACCGCTTCGAAGAATTTCTGGACGAACAATACCATTTAATTAAAGAATTCCTTTTACAAAGATAGCTTTTGGTGTAAAAATAATTCTGGAATAACAACCGCGGTTCTCCCCTTGCGCCTCTCACTAGAACACCTATTAAAAACATTTATATTAGTGTTTATAGTTAATAAGCTAATAAACTATAAGGTGCTTAATAAAAATATGCTAAAAGAAGAGAAGCGCACTGTTTTTGAAATTTTAAAATAAAACGTGTAACTTCTTTCAAATAAACGTATACTGGCTTATTAAATAAAATTTTTAAAAAGTAACTAAAATTAACCGACATTTCTATTCCTGGGGGCATAGTGCCAACACGGCCTGGTGGTACTACGATGATGACTTTAGTCAATGTATTTCCAAATTAAAGTTTCTTCTTTCTTTTTCTTTCAAATTCATCACATACGCTTCTACTTGGAAAATATTATATATTAAATTGCAGCTTTTACCATCAGGTGAACCGTATGCTCGTTTGGCCCCACTCCTATAAAAAATAATAATTGCAGAATTCATTGGATAAATCTCCGACGAGAGACATATATATACACCACTTACCTATCAGATGTCACCTTGATAAAAACTGTATGCCGATTTAATATTAGTTTGGTATCAATGAGTATAATAAATATGATAATCCATTCAGATAAAATTCGAAGTTCGTAGGTTAGTGAAATGAGGCATGACTAGTCGACATTAAGGTATGCTTAAAATGACTTAGTGGCAACTTTTAAGACAGCACCGATTTTATGTTCCGTACTGGATATTTTTGATCGTGGGTAAAAAAAAAAAAAATATATATATATATATATATATATATATATATATATATATATATGAACATTACGCCTGTCACCCAGAGGGGTAGGCGTAAACTACAGACTTCCATTTAGCACGATCCTGACATACCTCTCTCGCCTCCTTTACATCCATATATCAGTTAAGGGTACTCCTAATGTGGATCATTTTCAAAATATTGCCAATTTGGTCGATGAACCTTCGTCTAGGGCGTCCCTTCCCAACACTGCCGTTCACATCTACAATATAAATATGCCCTGTCACTATTTCCTCGTTCGTTCTTTCTACATGACCAAACCACCGAAACATTCCTTTCTTAATCCTGGCCACAATATCATCATTTTTCTTTTAAATTAAGTATAAACACTGTATAAAATATACAGAAACTTAAAACGTACAATTGTAATAACAGTATCTTTAAATTATAAAGAATAACTGGAATCAATATTTAAGTCATAAATTTGATTTATGCCTTCTCCTTTAGGAATCAGAACTTCACTTAACTTCAATAACACCAGTCGTCCTGGTGGGCTTTTACAAGAAGGAACATAGTATGTTTGCCGTCTAGGAGTCCGTATAAGTTGGTGACTTCACAAACATACTATTAACCACTTCTTTCGCCATCACCCAGTATTGTATAATTCCAGGCTGCAAGGCACACGTATCTTGGCCTTCAGGTCACAATGCATGTGCAATTTCCTTAGTTTCAACTTGGGTGCAGCGTCCATTGTCAGCAGTAGCTACTTAATACCAGGTACATTCTATCTTAGGCACATTATCGTAGTCTAACATATTCACCCTTATGATTCATATAAAAGACCGGCACTGGGTGGTTGTGTTTCCCGTTGATTATTGTAAATACACCATCGTTACTGAGCAAAACGTGTGCAGAACATTTTTTGGATCGGCGCGATGAACATGTCCAACTTGTCCTACTTTTACTAACAAAATTTTTTGAGTACGTGTACTGCTGATAAACCAGAAGTTTGCGGCCCATTTTGGATGGGATAAAATGTATTTCTGTAAGGAGAAACTTTGTTCAAATAACAATCAACAGTTTACTTAGTAGTAGCTTTACTTAAACATGAATAAATTGAGGTATTATTAAGTATTGTTTAAATTTCTCATTATTTCTTTCCTTCTTATTTTCTTCTTGCATTTGGTTTTATCTAAACATTTTATATATTTTTAACGCCTGTACAATTGGTAAAAATATTGATTATGTAATATAATATAAATAACACAAACATTACATTAACAATCATAAAATTTTATTAAAAGAATGTACAACAATTTTATAAATTCTGTCGCTATCAAGAATATACTTTATATAGTATATTCTATATCTTCAGGTATGGTTATATCTGGTGGTGAATGATTGTGTTCAGCATTAAAATCAGTGACTGTGTAGGGCTTCTCCGACTCGTCTAACGTAACGTTTGCTTTACAACCTTTCTTGTGATGACTGGAGCATGTCCAATAGGTACCGTGCTTTTTAGCGTTACGCCAAGAATATGTGAAGCCTCGAAAAAGCAACATTCCGTGCGCTGATTTTCTACATCTAGAGGGAATGATGTAAGCTTCTGAAAACAGTTCGAATCATGTGGCTTTTCACATAATATGTTAATTCTACCAAATTTTAAAATCAGAGTGACCGTGCACTTTTAATTTTAAAACTGTGCAAATTTTCAAGTATAGAATGGAGACATTAGAAAACATCTGCTACTCCTCTTTACACTATCTTAAGTTCTCTCAATTGAGTCTACTTTGCTCAATCATATTTCGTACATGTTCAATCACTATTGCATGAGTGCAGTTTTTCTGTTTGTTTCGGATAAGTTATGTAATGAATGATATGACGTTGTGATTTTTATTAATGTAATTTTTATGCAAAGTATATTACTTTGATGGCTTATGTCTGAATTTTTAATACCTTTATTCATATTAAAAACACACACATTTACAGTAATAATAATCATCGTCAAACTGTGCAACAGTTTGTTGGCGGTAATGGCACTCTTTTCTTTTACATTTATATGTTTTATATTACTTACGAGTACATACTTATCTAAGGTATATTATATTACAATAAATATTTATATTTCTTTAATTGATACTTATTGTAGGTAGCACATTATACTTTTCTTAGGAATGTATCTTTCAGTCTTTTTTTAATAATACACTGTTCATGTCTTTGGACATATCTCTTATAAAATCTATTTTATTAAATATTAGCGGAGTTAAATATTGGCTAATTCTCTTTCCATAATAGTCTCTTATGTGTGGTATCACACCCTTTTCAACTTGCCTGATACGATAATTATGTAGTAGAGGTTGTTTAAGAAATCGGGTTTGGCTGGTAACATATATAACATTATGAAACACATTTGTTAACACCTGTATTGACAAATAAAGGTACAATTGATTGATTGGACGTCCAGGTTTAGTGTGTAAATGATTGAATTTATAACATTTTTTATTTCATGATATATCATATTTAAAAATAAAACAATAAAACTCTTTAAGTATATGACATTACAACACACCCATTTATTAACATAATCTGTTAATACAGACAACTGAGTAGATGGATATGTAAATATTGTTGTTAAACAAGTGCATTTAATTTGTAATAGCTTGAAAGTAAAAAATAAATATAATTGTGAAAAAGTGAACTGAGTAAAAGTATATACATACACCTACAAGTACATGTATCCAAAAGCTGAGAGCAGTCTTCTCATTTAATGAGTTGTTTTTGTAATAGTAGGGCTGTATATGTCGCAGCTAAATAGATTAATTAATCATTCAGTTGACAGCCCAGCCTTTTTACCAAACGGCGCCGTTCAACCAGCGACCTAAATGATAATAGATACAAGATAGGTGCAACGTTGTATTAGACGCATTGACTGCGTCTAATACAACGTTGCACCCATCTTGTAATGCCAGTGACAGTAGGGTAACGTGCCACTTTAACGGCCACCCTAAAGCCGCGTACATTTATATAATATAGCACAGCCAATAATTAGGCACAGACTAGTGACATTTGTTCAACCATCGGTGAAATACGATTATCATTCAGGCCTCTTGTTGAACGGCACCAATTAGTAAAAAGGCTAGGCTGTTAACTAAAAGGCTAATTAAGCTAGTTGGCTACGACACATATATATATGTATACATATTATTTTTTAGAACAAAAAAAGGAAG